GGGCTCTAGACACATCAAAAACGCGTTTCAGGAAACATGCGTTGTAAACATCAACGTGGGAAGTCACATTGGCGAAAGACCAAACTCCACAGCTCCATCTGGTGTCAGTGTTATAATGCATTAAAAATGTTTTTTCTTTACTAATGTAGCTTGAGGCCTGGTTCTGCATTCAAGCGATGTGATGTTGATGATAAAAGCAGGGAGCCCAAACTCTGTGCCCTAGCAACCTAACACCATTCCTTTCTCCAATGAGCCCCGGATGAGCTAGCAGAGGGCACCCAACAACAAAGAATCTGGCATCTGGCCCAGGACTTCCTTTTGGGCAAAATACTGCCAAGGAATCAGTAGTCAATTCCAGGAAAAGGTCTGGAATATTTGTAAGATAAGGTCTCTGAGCATATTCAGGATGCATTTCCCGCATCACTGAAAATCAGCAATCTACCCTCGCTCAATGGCACAGGTAGCTTGCACTGCCTGCCCTGTTGCTCCAAGTTCAGACCAGTATTCAGTACTAGATAGTATCAGCTTTACCACTGCTGATTTCATCCACAAACTTCATTATGGCTGCATACACACTATTCATTTAAGGCACACATAGCCCTCAGGAATTCTGGGAGCTGTAGTTTGTTAAGGGTGATGAGGGGGGCAAGCTACAGTTTCCAGGATTCCTTGAGAGGAAATGTCCCAATGTCTTTAAATCTGCTTTAAATGGTGTGTACACAGCCAGTGTGTGTAATTCTGAACCCAAAACGCTATGGAACATGCTTGTTTGTTACCATCATTAATTCCTTAGCAATGACTGGGAGCCTTTTAGGAACAAGTTCATTTCTATCTGGAAACTGAATGCCTATCTGTACATACTGAGCTTATTAAGCTTTTATCCCCAGGGAACACAATCATTATGCTTGTGAAACATTGCTCATATTCTCCCCCCCCCCCACTTAAATCTTAAGGCAATATTGTGGATATAGAATAAGAAGCTGAAGGGGAGGAGGGAAGACTGAGCCCTGCCTCTCACACTTTTCTTTCAAATGTCAAAGCAGATAGACGACAGAAAGCTAAAAATCTGCAGGAGCTCACTGATCCTTGATATTGCTGCTATTCCAAATGCTATTCAGATTAATTCTTTCCAACTTCAGTGTTGCCAATTATGTGCATGTTCCTTGCTCTAGTTGCCCTGAGTTAGCTCTTCGATCATTCTCCAACGAAGGACAATTGCAAGTGCTGTACATACATACTGCATACTGAAATGGTGCACCAGTAAGTTCTCTAATTTTTAAAGCGAATGGAATGTGCAAAGCTAGCTATTCTCATTAAATGAACTACTCACGGGATTATTCTGGAACTTGCCCGTCGCTTGTGTTACATGAGTTAACTTGGAAAAATTGCATGCTTGATAAATAACATCTTAGAAAACAGAATACTTAATACTGAAACACCAGGCTATTAACGAAAAGAAGTAGCAATAAGGAGTAAAATATTTTAACACATCATCAGAGGAAGGCATAATCTCAGTGCAGGTTTGCAGAAATGTATGTATTTGACTAGGATATGTGATTTACAGTGCAATTATAACCATAGGTTGAATCAAATCCTAGTTCTACTCTGAAATTAATGAACCTGAGTTAGTTATGCCCATTACCTTCAGTGGGTCAACTTTGATTAGGACAAACATTAAATACAATCTCATGTTTTTAAATACATGGCTAACTCAGGATAATTATTTTCAGTGGGTAGACATTAGTTGGATACAACCCATCCTAGAGAGCTTTGTTGCTCCACCCCCCCGCCCCCCGGAGAAATGTAGGCATCAAGTTGTCTGCCTGGTACAAGAGAAGGAAGCCTCAGTCTGGGCATATAACTGAGTACAATTAAGTAACTCTTATCTGTGCTACCGGAATTCTGGTATATCAATAAATGAGGAGGAGGAGAATAATTTAAAAATGAGTGCAGTGGGAGTTGAAAGGGTAGGGAACAAAGAAACGAATGCACTCTAGTTACAGAGGACATGTCCTCCATGGGCAATGATTTAGCAACTGTTCATGCTGTGTGCATAAAGGTAAAGGTACCCCTGACCATTAGGTCCAGTCACGGACGACTCTGGGGTTGCGGCTCTCATCTCGCTTTACTGGCCGAGGGAGCCAGCATACAGCTTCCAGGTCATGTGGCCAGCATGACTAAGCCACTTCTGGCAAACCAGAGCAGCGCACGGAAATGCTGTTTACCTTTCCGCCGGAGTGGTACCTATTTATCTACTGTTGCAAAGCAAAGTCAGCATCCTGTGAGCCCTGAGGATGCTTAGTCCTTGTTGGGCTGTGCTGTGCTGCTTCCTCCCCTTAGCATTTTCTTCTAATATATGCATTTTCTGTGAACGATTTTGCCTTATATGCATGCAGTTCCCCATAGATTATACATTTTTTGTACATTTTCACCACTATACCCATTCCTGCACAACCTACGTATTTTGTGTGTGCATTTTTGGTTGCATCACGACATTTGTAGATGTGAGAAGGTTGAAGGATGACTTTGGTTTGTGTATTTGGTAGGTTTGCATTAAAATGCAACCTGAACCAATTTGTCCCCCCATCCCTAACTGCCACATGACTTTTAGTACTTTAAACCTAAAGGTATTAAAGATAAATAAACAAGAGCTCTTTCCTAGACAGCTTCATTTTCAAAGTACTTCTGGGAAACACACCAGGCATTTTGTTCCTACATGATATTCTAAATACTAGTTGCAGTTACAGTTTGCTGGAAGTATATTGTTATTTCCTGGGAATAGTACAGTCAGCAAGGCAAACCCCAGGCAATCAAAGAGATGGATGTAAGTAGAGAAAGCTGCTAAAGTGTGAAATAAAAGCATCAGGTAGTTTTTTGTCAGGTGAAGTGCATAGCTTTCCAATGCACAGGCCTTCAACAACTGGATTTAACTTTTTTTTTTTTGAAGTTAACTCAAATAAACAGTTTTTCTTAGCTTTCGGAAATAGGTCTTTTTACATCAATTACCTTCCATGCCTAGCCAGATGTATTTTTAGAGTGAATCAATAGAGTAAAGATTAGGCAAATGCTGTGTTGTGCACATTAGGAAGTGTGATTTTAAAAATAAAATGAAACAAGACAGCCTTATTTGTAAAACTTGGTTCCTTCCAACCAGCTGAATAAGATACACAGGCTGGCTGAGCTGTAAGGATGTACTTCACGCAGGTGGCGCTGTGGTCTAAACCACTGAGCCTCTTGGGCTTGCCAATCGGAAGGTCGGCGGTTCTAACCTCTGTGTCAGAGTGAGCTCCCGTTGCTCTGTCCCAGCTTCTGCCAACCTAGCAGTTCGAAAGCAAACCAGTGCAAGCAGATAAATAGGTACCACTGCAGTGCGAAAGTAAACAGCGTTTTCTGGTTTCCGTCAGGGTATTCTGTCATACCAGAAGCTGTTTAGTCATGCTGGCCACATGACCTGTGGACAAACGCCAGCTCCCTCAGCCTGAAAGCGAGATGAGCGCCGCAACCCCATAGTTGCCTTTGACTGGACTTAACTGCCCAGGGGTCCTTTAGCTTTTTACCTTGCTTCACCTTTCTGACCTTCATCTGTAACCATAGGAGTTCAGCTGATGAATTAGTGGAAGAAAATGAACTAGTTTGATCCTGATTCAGGGTGTGAGCATGGGCTTGTTTGAGCAGCACCTATCCTGCACCTTATGGGAAGCTGCTTCTGGGGCCCATTTCATGTTACCAGAGGGACAGTGAAATGTTTTTCCGACATAATTTTCTCCCTTTTCCAGCACTGGATTTCGCTCAGGTTTCTGCTTGAGGTGTACTGCAACCACTAGAACAGAGTGACAAGACTTAATAAGTTTCAAAAGGTTTGCCCTCCTGTGTCCTTGACTGGATTCAGCTGATGGTTAATATTTTAAATAAAACAAATAGGTAGTACTTACCTCATGCTCACATAAGGTGCTTAACTGTTTATCTTGACAGTGGGGCTGAGATGCTTTGTCAGCCAGGACTCCTCTCGTGCTCCTCTTACAACAGGAAGATACACATTTATGGAAGCACTGAAAAAGAATAAGTCCACCACCTCCATCACTTTGACATGGATATATGCAGGAAACAGCTGAGCATGAGAGGCTCTGGATGCCCCTAGTCTGCCCTAATCCATCACCTGTGTCCTGTTTAATGGGCAAGGGTCATTGCTTACTGGCAGAACAGCCTCAGGTTCAGCCACAAGTATCTCTAGGTAGAGGTGAGAATGACTCCTGTCTGAAATCCAGGAGACCTGCTTCCAGCCATTGTAGGCAGATGGACCAGTGGTCTGACTCATTTCAAGGCAATTTTCTACACTGATTATGCAAACTGTAGTATGATAAAGCTTTGTTTTAAAACTGGTGGCTCACGCATGCATGGAGAATGGAATTACAACAGCATCGCAGCTAATGAATCACAGATTCTTAGTCTGCAGGTGTCCAGAAACAGATTGGAGTAACTGGCAACTCAACAAGGAGATCTCTATTTCAATTAAAATATATTATCAAGAGAGCTGTTTGGAATAGATGCATTGCTGGGTTCCAGAACGGATTTTTGGAGGAAATTTTGTATTTCTTTGCAGACAGCGGCAGCTCTCTTGATGACTTTCTGATTGTGAAAACTGCATCTACAGTTGGCAAAATAACTATATATATATATATATAGTTATCACAGATCGTAAAGAAAATACCATATTTTTTGCTCTATAAGACGCACCTTTTCCTCCTAAAAAGTAAGGGGAAATGTGTGTGCATCTTATAGAGCGAGTGCAGGCTGTGCAGCTATCACTGAAGCCAGCACAGCAAGAGGGAGAGCTGTGCAGCGCCTCTTGTTGTGATGCCTTCACAGCGATGCACGATGAGGGATGGAAGGGAGCCCTTACGGAGCACCTTCCGTCCCTCATCCTGCTTCTCTGGGAAGCCAGCAGATCAAGAGGCACTGCACAGCTCTTCCTGTTGCTCTGCTGGGTTCAGCAGAGCAGCGCAGCACCTCTTCAGCGAAGCGGGAGGAGGAAAGCAAGGGGTTCCGTAAGGGCTCCCTTCGTTTCCTCCTCCCGCATCGCTGAAGAATGTTGCTTCGTCTTGCCTGCCTCCTCCGATCCCCCCAGCAGGGACAACGCTGCTAGGTGGCCAGCAGTGTCGGAATCTCCGCTCGGCCAAGCTGATAAAGCTCATTTTCCTCCGACGATAATTAACGACCTGAGCCTTTGATGAGGCCTCAGGCACATTCCCATTCAGCAGAGTTTCCAGCACAGGGAAGTGATGAGATTTATGGCTACATGGCTAAAGAGTTTTATTTCTCACTACGCAGACAGCAAAGGAAAATACATCCTCTCTCCATGAAAGCAGAGAGCAACTGAAACAAAGGAACAAAGGAACAGGAAACCAATAACGTCACATCCCGTCTCCCGTGAGACTTCCAACAGCCTGGACTGTCTCTGGAATGTAAACAGAGTCTTGTGACTCCAAAGCACTGCTCAGTGGCAAACAGAAACTAACAAGCAGATCCAGCTTCCCCAAAGGGGCGGATGGACCGGCGGCTCCTTAGCCTGATCCTCCCTCCTCCTTCCTCTTCAACAATATTTGATTCAGAATATTTTTTTTCTTGTTTTCCTCCTCTAAAAATTAGGTGCGTCTTATGGTCGTCTTATAGAGCAAAAAATACGGTAATTATTACAGTACAATCCTATACTTTTATAATCAACAACAGGTCCCAAGTAGAGCTAAGCCTCACTGAACTCAACAGGGCTTACTTTTGAGTAAACATATGTAAGACTATGCTGTCAGTCAAGCATTAACCTGAGGCCACGAACTGATTCAAACAAGTTTCACTGAACTGATACAGTCCTCACGTGAGAACTGTATCATCTTGTTTATTACATGGGGATTGTTTTGATTCAGTGAACAGAGGCATCTTACGGGGGGTTGGGGACCCGTTAAGTTCCAAAGAAACTGTACAATGTTGCAGCCAATTATGGATTGGAAAAATGTAACTATGCTGACAATTCACTGGGTAAATTATGAGATCAATTTCAACATAAATCCAACAAGACAGTTTACTGACACCTTAGTGCTTGTCACTTTTCGCAAAAATTATTTCAGTTGAAAACTCATTTTCTGCCCACATAATCCTGAGGAATGAAACATTTTGCTAATATTTTGTTTGTTTGTTTGTATGTTTGTTTGTGTTTTAAAAAAGGATAGGGAAAGTGTAATGATCTGGATGTTGTGAGTTCATCCCCAGCCAGTATGACTAAAGGCCAGGGATGGATGGAGTTGCAATCCAGAAACATTTGGAGGGCCACAGGTCGTTATCTCTGCTGCTGCAGCCCGAGATGTACAAAGGATCATCCTATGTTTTATTACTGATATATTTTGATTTATTAGAACACAACATAAAGCATGACCTGTTGGATCAGACCAATGGTCCAGCCAGTACAGTATCCTGTTCTCATGGTGGCCAGCTGGGAAGCCTGCAGGCTGGACATGAGAGCAACAGCGCTCTCCCCACTCGTGATTCCTAGCAGCTGGTAATCAGAGGCATAATGCCTCCGACAGTGGCGATAGAACAGAGCCACCATGGTCAGCAGCCATTGTCCTCCATGAGTTTGTCTGGTCTCTTTTAAAGCCATCCAATTTGGTCACCATCGCTGCCTACTGTAGGAGAGAATTCCATGGTTTAATTGTGTGCTTCCTTCCATTACATTGTCTCTTTCTCCCCTTCCCTCTCCTACTGCTGAAATTTGGATGGTGAGTTCTTTAGGGCAGTGACGTGCCTCTTTTGCTTATGCTATTCATTAGTAATAGTGGTAATTATAATAATCTGGTATCCGACCCAGTTTCAGCCCCACTGTGAAACCTTCAGTCTGACTGTCTAAATGCCATTCAGTTGAGATGGATTTGAAACCAATTTCCCCTTGAAATGTAATTGTGATTTACATGAAGTGTGTCATTACCTGAGGATCATGATGGAGGGCTGCCCAGTCTCACTCCAAGAAATCTCCCTCAATAATGTTACAAAAATACAGCTCTTATTGAAATAGCTATTAATGCCCAGAGCTGTGTTGAATGTCTATGAATTGCCCAATTACTAGAGATGGATGTGGTTTGCAGTGTTGCACATTGATATAAATGCATTGATCTTTTCCCCAAAGTTATTAAAGCCAGGAGGGATTGCAAACACTCCTGCTGCACAGTTCCATAATGCACCTTATTGATTCTATGAATTCACAGTAACTCAGCACTTGTTTTCACAGATGTCTGGTATCAACAGCAAACGCCGTTTTCAATGTATTTTTATTTGTTAAAATGCTTTAATGGAGAGCTGAAAGCACATAGGCATTCCTAAATTTTCCCATGACAGCATCTTCCAGGTAATAAAGGTAAACCAAAGCTTCTGCTAAGAAGAATAAAGGCAGCCCAGAGGATAGCATGCCTTATCCACAAATACATTCAAAAGTCCAGCAAAATGTGCTCGCTTTGGCAGTGCATATACTAAAATTGGAATGATACGGAGAAGATTAGCATGGCCCCTGCACAAAAGTCCAGCAAAATGTATGGGTTGTATGTAACTTCTATTTTTCTGTTTCTCTGCTCTAGATATTTGCAAGAAGTTGGGCTGTTTAAATGATGCCTGAGGAGCATTGAAAAGTTCTGGATGATTTTGTTGTTCAAACAGAGCAGCAGAGGTGTTGTTTTTTTTTAAACTAACTAACTAACCACAGTTGAAGAAACCTATTTATTATTATTAACCTCTCTTGCAAGTCTGAGTATTCTGAGCTTTGGCCCACTGAATCTTCTCCCTGCGACTACTGGCTACTTGTGTATACTCTTCCTTCGTGATTTTACCTTTCTTCCATTTCGTTAACATGCCTTTTTTGAATCTCAGCTCATCTGTCACCAACTTTTCTTTCTTGTTGGAATTGTCTGCCTTTGTGCCTTCAGAATTTTATCTTTAAGAAAGTCCCATCCATCTTGGACTCCCTTCTCCTTGAGTATTTCTGACCATGGGATCTCACCCAGTAGTTCCTTAAGCTTTTTGAAAACAGCTTTCTTATTGTCCAGAGTTCATGTCTGACTACACACTGACAGGAAGGAAACAGAACAAGAAATACTGAGGAAAGGGATGTCTTAGACAAAGCCTAGCTGGAAGAAGTAAATAGGTAGAGACTGTTGAATACATATCCGTGTGCTCTGAGTAGCTGCCAAATTCCACAGAGTCCAAACAATTCCAGATTCTTTCCTCTAAATCTTACTTTTTAAAAACTTGAAAGACATTGATTTTGTATTGAACTTGCATAAATATTTATATCTACTTCCTCAGACACATCTGTCATTGTACACTGGAGAGGTGAAGTCAGCATCTACTCAGCTTGCCACATCTTTTTCAAGTGGGAAGGCATTTGGGTAAATAAGCTCAGAAGTCACCATGATACATACACAAAAATGCTAGCATTCAAGTTCCCTCATACAAATTCCTGCTACGTGGAACTAAGTAAAATTTACCTCATGCAGACTTCCTTATCTCAGAAACAAATTGTGGATGCAACACCAACAAATATTTAATAAACAACCTTTAAGGCGCACCAGCTTGATGTCTGCCTCCATTCAGATAAGTGTTGCATCATTAGAAATTAATTCTATTTGAAGAAACATTAGCATTCGAAACCTGTTGGCAAGAAACCTTCCTTCTGAGGGGCTGTCTGCCTCCACCCTTTTGCATGTCCTTATTCAGTATTGGTTTTATATCTCACTCTTCATGCTCTACACTGAGAAAATCCTTTAGGCATCTTGCAATTAGCATTTATTAGTCACATTGGCTCATTCAGAAAATTTACAATCCAGGGCTAATTTCACACAAGTTCATAAAGGAACAGATCAATTTCAGAGAGTCTAAAATAAAGTAGAGCTACCACATTCCATTGACAGGGTCGGGAAATAAAGGACCCTGCTTTCACTTGATGAGACTCATAACAGGTTTTAGAAGAGTGTATCATGCTAATGATCATTAAGCTCTCCATTCATGAGACTTGCTAGTCCTATAAATGAATCTGACTGTCAGAAGTAACAATTTATTCAAGGAAACTCAAAAGTGACCCGAAAGACACCGTGAGGTGGATCGTTGTCCTCACTCCTCAGAATGAAGACACAAGGCAGAAACGTGGCTTACAGAAAAGTTAGCAATTGCATTAAGTAATGAAGTCCCCACTTTCCTACATGAGGCTCAGTATTTTCCTCAGCCAAGCCTTTCCCCAGCTATTCACCTTTAAGGTCAGCTGAAGGGATACCTACTGTATATATAGTCCCCGGTTTCCTGGTGTTTGCCATGGCCCTAAGAGCTAGCCAGCAACATGAGGTTGACTGGAGCTCTTTCTATCATCTCAAAGATGCCTCTGTGTGCTCACCATAGCAGTCTATCCTATCCTGCCCCCTGCCCACAATATCCGTCATTTGCAAATGAGAGGACATTAAGTAAGTCGATCTTCCAGATCAATTTACCTGCCCCACTATTATATCAACCATTATATGGAATGGGTGGGGGAAGGGGTGTCCACGGGCCAGTTGTGGAAATGCCCCCAAAGTTCTTAGCTCAGCCCCTGAGAGGGCAGTTACCTAACCCCCCTATTGGGATGGGTGGGCAGAATCCTGTGCTGAAGGAAAGAGTCATGAGGTGGAAGCATTGTCATGTTTTAAAGGTGTGCTATGTTGTGTGGTGATGGGGCCACATGCCCTGTCAAATCCTTGCTCTTTAGGGAAACTTCACTGCTTTAATCCAACAAAGGAGTAGGGAAGATACACCCCCAGCCAAAGCCAGAGGAACACTGACGGTAAAAGTGATGAGGAGAGCAGGCAGAATTTGATAATACAGTGGTACCTCGGGTTACATACATTTCAGGTTACATACGCTTCAGGTTACAGACTCCGCTAACCCAGAAATAGTACCTCGGGTTAAGAACTTTGCTTCAGGATGAGAACAGAAATCGTGCAGCAACGGCAGCGGGAGGTCCCATTATCTAAAGTGGTGCTTCAGGTTAAGAACAGTTTCAGGTTAAGAACGGACCTCCGGAACGAATTAAGTACTTAACCCGAGGTACCACTGTAAAGAGTATTACTACTTAAGAGTGCTGCTACTATCACTTGGAGCTAAGCCTAGCCACCTAGAGGCAAGAATGAGACTATAGCAGGCATAGGCAACCTCAGCCCTCCGGATGTTTTGGGACTGCAATTTCCATCATCCCTGACCATTGGTCCTGTTAGCTAGGGATCATGGGAGTTGTAGTCCCCAAACATCTGGAGGGCCGAGGTTGCTTATGCCTGGTCTATAGGATAGGAGGTGCCTGCCACCTACAGGTAGGAATGTGTAGGCGCATGCAATACATACACAGAAAATATGGCATCTCTGCATGCAACATTGGGCAATGTAGTTCAAATCTCCAGCTGGGATGTGGACAAACAAACAGGACAACTGTCACAATACTTGCCTCCCTGCTACTCGCAGGCATCCTAGGGAAATCTGACTGCCCTGTCACCTGAGACAGAATGCTAAAGTTAGCTGAATGTTTCCATCTCATCCAGCAAAGCATTTTTTTATGCTGCAAAGGACAACCCCTTCCTCAGATTGCATTTTGGCAATGTGTATACACTGTGTTTTTAAATCACACTCGCACACAAAGCACATTATTTCCCTCAAAGAATTATGGGCACTGTAGTTTACCCCTCACAGACTTCCTACAGCCCCCCTGAATTCCATGAAAGTGTGTGTGCTTTGAATTTGCTTTAAAGGCATAGTGTGGATGCAAACCTAATCTCATGCAGAGGGTGGCAAGCTGTTCTGGCCCTACTGGCATTCCTTTTTGCAGGTAAAATAGGAAAGGCCAACTTAGGGCATGAATTTGACAACACCCAGCCAAAGCCCTTGGGGCACCCCTAAAATTAACAAGCACACATCCCTGAAAGGAGAAAGGGGGCAGGAACCTGGCAATTGTACAACAGGGAACTTGGAAACTGTTTAAAGGAAGACCCCCTCATGCTTGGGCAGCACAATTCTTTAGTGCTGAAACATGAGAGGGGGAAATAATAACACTATTTTTTGTTTACTGCAGTGTCGGGGAACAAGCGGACTGCTGGAAGTTATTGGACTACAGTTCCCATCACCCCTGACCATTGTCCATGCTGGCAGGGGCTGATGGAAGTTGCAGTTCAACACAACAGATGGCCTGCAACAGGTTCCCCTTCCCTGGGACTCCTGTACCAGAGAACTGCTCTGGTAGTTCTGTCTGTAGCAGTAAAACCGGGTATGTCTCTTTGCACGGGTCTCAAGGGAAGTACTTAATTTAAAGCTTTCAAACTTGATTTCTCTCTTTTTTTTGAAAATGATATTTATTAAAGTTTCAAAGAAATGTTACAAAGATAGGAAAAAGAAAAAAAAAGAAAAAAATACAAAATATAGAAAAGAAAAAGCACTTAAAAACAAATCAGTCTTTCCATGTCTTGTCTTTCATTTACTTGTTTCCCTGACCTCCTCGTACCTCCCTTTTTTGTATTCCAATCCAGTTAGCTAATTCAGCAAATCCTTTCCCTCTTTGTTTTTATCCTAATCCTTTAACTTGATATATTGTAACTTTAGATTCTCACCTGTTAACAATCCATTTTTACATACTCCTTTGTAATATTGCTGCTAAAACTACGTAACTTCATTCTGACATCATTCTAACATTCATTAATTTTACAGTATTTCTGTAAATAGTCTTTAAATTTCTTCCAATCTTCTTCCACCAACTCTTCTTCCAATACTTTGCAATAAGTATTCTTGCTGCTGTTGTAGCATACATAAAGAAAGTTCTATCCTTCTTTGGCACCAATTGGCCAACCATGCCCAGGAGAAAGGCCTCTGGTTTCTTCAGGAAGGTATATTTAAATACCTTTTTCATTTCATTATAGATCATCTCCCAGAAAGCCTTAATCCTTGGGCACGTCCACCAAAGGTGAAAGAATGTGCCTTCAGTTTCTTTACATTTCCAACATTTATTATCGGGCAAATGATAGATTTTTGCAAGCTTGACTGGTGTCATGTACCACCTGTATATCATTTTCATAATATTCTCTCTTAAGGCATTACATGCCGTAAACTTCATACCTGTGGTCCATAACTGTTCCCAGTCAGCCATCATTATGTTATGTCCAACATCTTGTGCCCATTTAATCATAGCAGATTTCACCGTTTCATCCTGAGTATTCCATTTCAACAGCAAGTTATATATCTTTGACAAAATCTTGGTTTTGGGTTCTAACAGTTCTGTTTCCAATTTTGATTTTTCCATCTGGAAGCCAATTTTCTTGTCCAAATTATATGCCTCCATTATCTGATAATAATGAAGCCAATCTCGCACTTTATTTTTTAGTTTTTCAAAACTCTGCAATTTCAATCTGTCTCCCTCTTGTTCCAAAATTTCCCAATATTTTGGCCATTTGGCCTCCATATTGAGCTTTTTCAAAGCTTTCGCTTCCATCGGTGACAACCACCTTGGGGTTTTATTTTCAAGTAGGTCCTTGTATCTTATCCAGACATTAAACAAT